TATCTATCTATCTATCTATCTATCTATCTATCTATCTATCTATCTATCTATCTATTACTCCCTACCTTGCTTGCCCGCTCGTTCTATCTATCTAATTTCCCCCTCCCTCTCTCTCTTTCTCTCCCTCTGTCTTTCCATAGTGTTCTATACTACTCTCTGTGCTTCGAAAGAGAGAGAGAGAGGGGGGGGGGTGAACAAAGAGAGAAGAGAAGAAAATAGACTAGATAAAGAGAGGGATAGAGAGAATAAGCGAATGAAAAAGGATGTAAGTTCTAGTAAGTATCAATCAGATTCGGTACACCTAGTGTAAGCAGACTGCATCATGTTCTATTAATTTTAATAATGAAGAAGAGGCATTTTCGGCTATCACCACATTAAAAAAAGAAAAAGAATCAAGTGGAAGATATCTTTATCAACAAGATCTTTAACAAATAACTTTTTAATTTCAGCAGGTAGCTCCATATTAAATTAGGGGAAATAAAGCAAACAGAATCTTACTGCTGCAATAACTGTTTAGCTGATATGTTACATGTATGATACCTGGGTGGCAAAAAGCGGCGCTTTTCCGGTAATAGATCTATATTTTTTTAAATACGAAAAGGTATTTACTTGAGAAAAATGTCACAAATCAAAAATTGTACAACACCCAAATGCGAGCAATGCATTGGCATTTTTGAAAGGTCGCGCTGAAATACTTGTTAGTCGCAGCGGTAGGAGGGAGTAACCTACAAAGCGCAAACTATGGCCTCACGGGGCACACAACTTCTCTTTCACACTCGCTTCCTCACCGTGTCTTTGGTTCCCTCTTTTCCGCCTCGCGTACGGAGCGATCCCGCTACGCGCAGAGCGACCAGCCAATCGTTTTACACGAGGGAGGTTGATGCTTTATGGAACAGCTCATTGTTGTGTAGGGGTTGTGATCTCTCACGAACTGGACAGATCAAGCAGTTCGATTGCAATCATGGTCGCAAGCACACGGATATGTACAGAACTTCCAACATGATTATCTTACTGTTAGGGCTTTCTACTCTCTGTTCACTCGTTTCTGCGAAAGGTAAGTCTCTATTTATGCGGTTTTCGAAGTGTGTGTTCCCCTAGCTCTCTCTCGATTCGCCATTTCCCTCTGGGGTCTCTTCGAGTGCACTACGGTGTGTAGTGTATGGCGGTTTGTTTATCATTGAGTGCTGTAGTCGGCTCCTTTGTTGTTGATAACACAAGTGCCCTGCCGTGAACTCCTCTCAATAGTCGAACACTGTTGGCCCCATCCCCTCTCTGTCGATCACAGCTACCATTTATACTAGATCTATCTTACCACAAAAGTTTTACACAAGTTAACTTCTTTCTTTGAAGATGCAACAGTACCAGAAACCACTTTATTGCCTACCATAAAAATCGTTTTCTGTGAGACTGCGGTTCCATGATGCTACTGCTACGGTGCCGAGTGATTCCATTTTTATCTACCCTCGCATTCACCCTCCAAACCATGGCCCTCGGGGTCTAACCTGCACTCGTACACAAAGTTTGTTGTAACTTTTTTCTTGAGAAAACACCAACTGTACGGTGCGTTTCGGGGTCACGCAAAACTTTCTGTAACTTGCTCATTATTCATCGATTCATAATAGGCGCTGTGTAGGGTGGAGAATGAAAAGAGTTTTACACGCCGGTGGCTCGGGATGTAAAGAACGAGACAGCGTACAAAGAAAGCAAAATGTCTTCATACTCGAAAGATTCGGGTTGAGAAAGAAAACTAAATGAGCGTGGATCTGCCGGTTGTAATAGAATGTGCTCCCGAGTGTCGGGTCTACCTTAGATTATATAATTCTGGAATAGTCAATAGTATACCTGACATTTTCTACTCTCTGCTAGCAACTCACTAATCATGTTTATGACTGTAGTTACGCAATTCCGTAACTCAAGTATTTTTTTGTAGATGTTTTCTAGGTTGGTTAAACGTTTGTTCTGGTTTACATTACTGGTGGTTTTTCTCTGTAGGCTATATATATTTTGATATTTGTCACTGGTATTTTTTTCTGATATAACACAACAGTTCCTCTGAGTAGTTATTCTCTGTTTGACTTTTGGACTCTCTTTTTTTTATAAAGAGTAGAGTCTAGATCTATTTTGTTCTGAGGTAGGCAGGTAGGCCTACACTTTGAAATCTCAATGTTATTGGATGGAGGAGTCTTAAGAAAAGCATTAAAGTTAAACTGATAATTGAATGCCAGTAACTCTACGGTAGCTCTTCTTTTTTACCAAAGTTTAAAAGGTACCTAGAGAAAATATTTTACAGTTCACACTATCCAGGTCATCATTTAAGTTCATTCATTAGAAGCTACTTGATGTTTGTTCAAGATGTTAAAAAAAGGTATTGAATTGTGTACTTCATCAGTACAAAATTGCTCAAACCTGTTTGATCTCAGTTTTTAAATTGCTAGCACAGAAATTTTAAATTCTATAAATTAAAAAAATAATAAAAGTTAATGTTGTTGGACCAGAATCTATAGAATCTATATATATATATGTTTTTTTCTTTTGCAATTAACCGTATATTTAGAAAGTTAAACCGAGTTATAATTTATATTTTGTCATTAATATGTATGGTTCAAATTGAAAGAAATTTTTAAAAAGAATGTGGCACACAATAAATACCTGATAATTGAAGATATAAATGCTTTCGAACCACACTAATTCGCTGAGTGACTTGAAGTAAAATTTATCTGCTTAGATTTCTTGTCTTGTTTTGAGCCGTCAATGTTCAATTTCAGTTAAGCTCAGAGTGGACATCTTTTATTATACTGTTTATTTGTGACCATTTATTTTATTAAGTCTTGTCTAGTGCAAAATATAAAGAAAGAAAGAAGTTTCAGTTAGAAGGTCTTATTTTTGAAATCCTGGGGGTTTTCCGTTTTGTTTTGTTTTTATTTTACTTACGATCACAATTAAGCTGTTAAGATCCATCGGGCAAAAAAAGTGCTAACCTGAGGCCTCATAAAAGTAGAAGTATAAATTAAGTGTCAAATACTGTGCTGTCTTACTTTAAATGACTTAAATATGAATTTTGGAATTTTAAAATAATATGTTTATAAAAGATATTGTTTCTTCTATGAGCACTGTTTTTCCCTTTTCATAATAAATACTGAGAAAAAAAAAGAACCAACTCCAGGTTATGTATTTTTATGAATTATAATTTCCTTTTGTTCAGAACCTTGTTCTTAAGCTATTTCATAACATTTTTAGGACAGTAAGCAGTGTTTATAGGGCTTCATTAAGTAATAGATAATATTTTAGGCTCTGCAAAATAAAGAAATTAAAAAGTGTTTAAAAAATAATGAGAAATAAATATGTCTATAACAAGGGTTAAGTTTTATCGTAAAGAGAGGATCTAAGAGTCAACAAAAGGAATAAAACAGAGTGTGTAGTATTTTTTTCTTCCAAAGATTTTATTCTAATAGAAAAAGATGCATGAGGGGGAATTTATTATTTTCTTCTTTGCAAGAGAAGCATTTCACTCTTCACTTTTTTTTCACAACAAATACAGTTTGGGTAAATTGCTTTTATGACCAGTCATTTTGCTTTCTCCAATTCGTTATTACTGTCATTGTACTGATGCCTGATACATCTCTACAACTCCAACAAGTACTTTTCTAGCTTTAAAAATTGTAAATGTACTTGCGTAGTGTTAAAATAAATTATGTTATTTTATTAAAGGCAGTCCTGTCAGCTATACTCATTAAGAAGTTGTAAGTTTTTAGAATTTAAAAAAAAGAGAGAGAGAGAGAGAGAGAGAGAGAGAGAGAGAGAGAGAGAGAGAGAGAGCATTTAGGACTGTGCAACTTAGATAAATTTTCGTCTCTTTGTATGTTCTGATCTTGTATGAACATAGCAGCTTCGATCGAAGCAAATAGGCAAACTGAATAGTAGGCCTAAAGTTTTTCAAAGCAAAATCAACTAAGATCCAAAAATGTTAAAATGTAGTACATTAATAGGTGCGTTTGATAACGTTTATATTGGTAACTTTATGGTCATGCTTTTTTTTCACCGTCTGAAGATGGCTGCCAACGTGTGGACAGCATATATAGTGTAAATGACTTTAAAGTTACGAGTACAATATGTTAATGTGTAAAAATTACGTCCCCGCAATTGAAAGGATTTCTGTTACATGTATTAACGTTACAGTTGCCATCTGGCGATGAGAGCTCTGTGTCTGAAATGTGATACCCTGCATGTCATTCAAAAAACAGAAAAACAAACAAAAACAAACAAGCAAACCCACAAAACCAAAGTCGGAAAGGCAGGTACATGTAGTTGAAATCTGACTGTGCTAAACTGTCATGCTGTTGATGATCGTACACGTTACACAGAATGAATCACCTGTACTTCATGTCTGCTTTCTAAAAAAAAATATGTAAAATTTGCCTGTGACATTGTCTCTCACTTCAACATAGAAAGCCGCTTTGACGACCTTTTAAAAGAAGTAGGCTACAATATTCTCTGCCTCACACATTGCAGATATTGGGGTGGGGGTGGGGGGGGGTAGCATCTGGTAGGTCCTTCTTCTTTTCTTTGGCTTTGTTGTTTCTGTCAGCTTCTTTTGCTTTTTCCAAGCACAAAATAGCCGTTGTTGCGTCGATGTGCTTCTTCTATTTCTTAAACAAACAAAAAAAAACAATTTAACATCTAACCTCCCACACCGAACGCGTTTTCAATAGAGCAGGGCCCGCCGATGAAATTTAGGGTATGGGTGCTCGCAGGCTTTATAAACAGAGAGTCAGCTGTGTATGAGATATAAATACATCATGTATACCCCACTATGCAATCATGAGTTGCTTTTAGATATCGAATCACCCCCCCTCCTCTTCCTCTAACAATCTTACAGTAGGCACACCCCATAGGAGGCTATGACTTCAGTTTAAGGCAGTAGGTAACTGGACCCATAATTAAGGACCCCCGAAGTTGTCGTCCAGGATATTTTCAAGCTGTCTTTGCTGGGATCACGCTGGGATATAGAAACTAAGTCAATGATCCCTGCAGCGTCAGTGTCGACTCCAAGTATAGAAACAAGCCTGTTGCTGTTTGAAGAGCGTGTATATTATTTTGTACTTTTTCGATGTTATAGGTCCTCTCTTGGCAAACGGAAAATTGGGAGCTCCCGTGGCCTAGAGGTTAAGGTGATCGCCTCTCATTCAACGGTCCTGGGTTCGAATTCGGGTAGCGACGGAAACATTTTGTTCTCTAAAATTGTCTCCTTTCACCTACTTTCTTGCTCTCTAGCAATGTTCTGTCGTCTGCTTTCGTCTCCACTTTCTGCCTTCACCTCCTTTGCCCCCTCCTTTGGGCTCCTGGCTCTTCCGGCAGCCTTTCTACTGCTTCTCCTTGGCTCCTTCTTCTTCGGCCACCACCCGGGAAAAATTGAAAATTTCCTACCAACTGAAAACGTTTGGTGTGTCCCGCGCGCTCATATGACCTTTTATGCAGTTGCGAGCGCCGTAAAATTCTGGCCAAAAAAAAGAAAGAAAGAAAAAAACCTCAGAGAATATGACGATCCAAATGTGGCTCTTTTGGGCCCCATGCTGGTATTCTTGAGGCTGAAGATATGTTCCAAAGAAGTTCTCTCTGTAATATTATTCTTTGTCTTGGAACCGTGAATGATTGTAACGTACTAAGCGACAGGTGCCGTTTAGCAATCTAGCTACGTTTTCTATGTGGAAGCTAGCCTCATTTTACTCCCTCAAGGGTACCTATTTGCGTGACTTCATAACCTGACACCACAAAAGAAGATCGAACAAAACGTCAGTCTTAGAAATAACAGTCATCCATTTTTTAAAAATATGCCCGGCCCAAAATGATTTCTTTGAAAACGGTTTGTTGTACGTCATTTCAGACACGATTAGATTTTGTTTTATAGCATAAATCACTCTCACTCTCACAGTAAAGGGGTGATTGGTTCTTCTTACAAATTTTATGCACGATTCACCTTTATAGTAAAGAGGTAACGTAACACACGTGTGGAAGTGTGCATGTGTTGGCCAGATTAATCGGCTTGCATGAAAAAAG